TGGCTCGTTAATTGAGAAAGTAGCGAATCATTAAAAGCAAGGATAGGATAAAGATCCAGAATGCGGGTATGCAGTACCTTTTAGAATGTTAGATATCCTGGTATCAAATTCAAGTGCCCTATTACTCTGAGAATAGCGTCCTGCGCATTATAGCGATGAGGCTCTGAATCAATGTACCTCACACCACGATTTACAACTAATTGTGAATGAGAGATAAAAATGAAATCCAGCTTTGTAAGTTCGTTTAGGAATGCGAATGCAAATCTGGAAGCAACACTCAATCCGGCGCTAGTTTTTAGTGATAACGTGTTGTATATTGTAGAGCCGAAAACTGACTGACTGTCTTTGCGGACGATATGTGAACAAACTAATCGGGAAATCTGTTTAGCCGGGATGTAAGCTAGTTGGAACAGTGGTAACACACGCACATTCTATTCGAGGGATCCAAAGTTCCTATCCCAGACGGGACGGTGGATATGGACTGCTGATGAGCTCTAATGAAAGTAATAACTCGATTCTAGTGTATCTCAAGCAAATAATTGAATGGATGAACTGTGGTTTTTGCACAGATGGAGTTCGAAGGATGGTCTGTCACAATGGTTATTTGTTTATAATGGCATGAACACCTACCTCTCTTCTATTAGAATATTTAGTTCAGCAACTCCTGATTAATTGCATCCAAACTGAATGCTGCAATGCATTCACTAGAATAGCATTGTGTGGCGCCAACACCGTTACTGTATTACTCATACATTTATCTGCTTATTTATTTGTTCGGGAATTATTAAGTAATGGCGGGTTATTCACTGTTCGAGGTGCATAAAGCAATTACTTGACGCGACTTTGTTTGTGTTGTCCGGCACGCCCCAATGAGTCCATCGTGACTTTTCTGACGAAGCTCACTGGTTGACCCCCTCATATCGTGGCTTTTCACCACATACTGCCTGCCTCGGCAAACATCCGTGCTGATGAAGCCTACCGGCGTAACACAAGAAACTATGACGAATTCGTCCATGAATTAAGTGAATCGCGTACGATACACAAACACATCAATTTCCGAGAATTTTTATTGGTAAGGGTTCATCAGTAACCAGTGACGCTCAATGTTTTTAGAGATACCAAAATCGAGAACAGCGGAATAAAAACCCTAATTTATAGTAGGACCACGCCGGGATTGTCAAAATTCCCTCAATCGGTCAGCGTTAAAGGAAAATTCATAGATTACTTTAATCTAATTCATTAGTTGTGAGTTTCAACCAGAATAACGAGACGCACTCTTCTAGTGACGGAGAAATATATTGTTTTATCGGGTTTATGAGCAGAAATATTTAATGAGAAGGGAAAGTAGAGGAGCTGTTCAAAAGTGACGGTTTATCATGCCCTTGTTTGCACCAACGGATTAAATGCCAAATCGGTCCGGTGAAATAAAAAATTGTTCAAATTGTTGTTTGGCAGATTTGAAGTTTGTATGTCGATTGTGAAGAGTTCAGTAGCCGCGGTGGGATTCGAACCCACCATGGACGCCGCCTACGCTTTGTACACGCATGCTCTACCAGCTGAGCTACGAGGCCACACCGATTAATTAATTCCTTTTTTGCGGAATTAGAAGGACTGCCTTCCCGTGTTAAACCTAGCCATAAGCGACGCGCAAAGTCCCGGTTCTAATGCAATGAAAATCAAGACCGTCTCGTGATACGGTACTATTAATGCGAATTAATTAATGACAATAAATAATATACAAACCTTGATTCGTGAGGTATCTGGGTTAGGACAGTCGTCAGGGCACTTCCAGATATAAGTGCACCAAATAGGAATATGACAGCGCTTGGCTGTGTCGAAATACACCTTACAATCAAGGTACTTCATAAGGGGATAGCTCACCGTTGTGTCAAAGAGAGAATATGATCAAAGTGTACGGAGTCAAACAGATAAGTCCAGTAAGGCAGTGACATGAAGCTTCCAAAGAATGAGCCAATCATAAGAGAGTTGGGAGCACACAATTAGATCTCTGAACAAACAGTGGCAGACGTGTGTGTGTGTGTGTGTGTGTGTGTGTGTGTGTGTATACATGAACAGGTGACTCCCGAGGAGCCATCAAAACAGGTCACATGTGCGTAGGTGGTTAAATAATCAATAAATGATACGCAGTGAACCGGTACAGAACAAGGGTAGACGGAACATAGGTCAACCAATAGTAAGGGGCAATGGAGGTCACAAGAGAACTCGTGTGTTTAAAGTCATAGGTGTGAGCGGTATGTGTGCGTCTGCATGCTCATTGCGTGTCAGAGACTGGATTATGTAAGAAATCGATAACCAGAATGAAACGAATGTCAACGGGACAAATAAGGAGCGATAGAGTGGGTAATGAGACGAAAGAACACAGTGATTCTGAGGAGAAGAATCAACACTCCCGCGCCATAGCCAGGATGGCTTTCTTTACTACCCACCCCACACACTGCACATTGAAACAAGTGGAGACGGAAATGGTACAATTTACTCTTGCCACAACCGTTTTGACAGGTAACTCGAGTGCACCTAGAGCTGTGGAGCCTCCAACGCTCACCAGCTCCCTCGAGTAGGCGACCTTACGGGTGTTTCTCTAAATAACTCCCCTTGCCTTCTTGATCGACGAGTCCATCCACCCCATTTACCACAGGCGTGATGTCTCGCTTTGGCCATTCGTTCCGAGCTTTCATTTTTTTCTCTTTCTTTTGTTTGCTTTGTGGATTCTGATCGGTTGCCATCTTTGCTTGAACGGTTTTTCTGCTTCCCATATAATGTAGAATCAAGGTAGAAGCAGTCCAACGGTGGCTTATGCCTTGGTCTAGCCTCATTCTCCTCGTTTTATGCCGCTCCAATCTTATGGATAGCATTAGTGCTTGCAGCTCCACACGAAGGATGGTAGCGCCTTTGAACGGAGGGACTCTTTCATTAAGAGGCATCGTGGATAGAATCTTTGCATTTAATGTACCAGGGTCAACGGACACTCGGATGCTGTTTTTTTGCAGGTTCTAACGTGTCGCATAGCGTCCATTGGCTATCAGGCTTGTTGGGATCAGCGTCCCCAGCCATATCTTGAGCCTAGTGCAGATCAAAACCGACAGGATCCACTTCTGATAACTCTTCAGTTATCGTACTAGCGAAATTCACACAATCGACATACAAACTTCAAATCTGCCAAACAACAATTTGAGCAATTAACCTTGTCTTAGAAGCTCATTCGGTGGACTCCGGTGAATTCTAAGGGAAACCTGTCGAGGCAGTCAGCTTACATGCTAACTGGTGGATGCCTCACGCCTCTTTAAGTTGGGTAAATTCGAATGTGAAAAGATCAGTGCTATCGGTGTGGCCTCGTAGCTCAGCTGGTAGAGCATGCGCGTACAAAGCCTAGGCGGCGTCCTTGCAAGGGCTCGAATTCCACCGCGGCTACTGAAATTTTCACAATCGACTTACAAATAAAAATTACCTCTGGAAAATGAACTAACTTCGATTTTCGGTGCTTGAATTTCATTCACGCACTCATTCATGCATTTAAATGCGATGGAAATGTTTGTGATAACCAATGAAGAGCACTGGACAGCTGCTTCGTCCTGTTTGGGATTCGTCAACAGTGCGTACCTTTTGTGTCCCTGTCATAATCCTACATGTACAGATCATATATGGTGCTTTTGTTGGTGGAGCCACATTTTCACGTTGGCTCGAAATGTCATTCGGAATTGGGAGAGGGGAGGGGTGAGTCCTATGTGTCTGCATTTAAATGAAGTCAGTTGTGATTGAAGTGTTGGTAATGGTGATGTTGTTGATCACTTTGGGGCCAGGGTAATTGGAGAGCTTGGGCCAGTCACTTGTGTGCATAGTTCTAGTGTGAATAGGTCAACGCCCGTCGCCTCAGCGGCGGCTAATGTGTTAGCGCACTGCCGTAGAGGAGTTGGGTGGGGGGGAGAGGGGGCACACAACAGATTACGCTCAACGCGGTTTATGGTTTAATTTGAGGCCCTTTGTCACTGCCACTTTATTTGGACTGTTGCTTGTTTAATATTCTGGTTCATTTGAGATTATGTAACCGGCATACCCAAGTGATTTGCTACTTTTGGACACCAGCAGAGCGCCGTTTAACTCAGAACTCTAATCCACGCAGTTGTGCATTGCGAATATTTTGATGATGAGCTGATGAGTCGGCAAAAATATCCGCCTTGATTTTTTCGGAAATTGTGAAAATTATTGAATCGGGCTGAGACTCATTTAAAAGGAAGTATGAGTTAGTAGGTTAAATTTCTGATTATCTGTGCTCGTAAAATCTCAAAACTCTCAGGGTTCAGAGCTTGGATCACTTTAAAGTTGAATAGCTTCTTAGATTGCCTTCAACTGTTTTTTTTTACAACAGGCTTAGTGTACAAACATTGTAAACCTTACAACATTATCGTCTTGTCTCAAACTAGCTACTTTTTTACCCATGCAAGGAGGGATTTACTTGTCTTGTAAAACAATCACTAGCAAGTACTAGATATTTCGATATTTTGACGGTTTTGTTTTGCCTTCAGAAATGAACCTGCAGCTAGATGAAACTACGAAGATTCTCCTCTTTTAATTTTGATGCAGGTTTCACCTTACTGTCTATTTCAATCATCAAATAATTTTGTACAAGGATTTGCTTTGTACACTGTGTGAAAATAGATCGGTGATAAGACTGATGTAAATGAATGTTTATGAAATGATTTTCTTCTATTCCTTTTCCCCAACCAATCACCGTTGTTATTGATTGGTAAAATTACTCGGTTATGATACAAAATGAGAACTTTTACATCTCATATCAAGCTGAATACTCGCCGTTCGTGCTGCAGATAGCAATTGTTTGTTTGATTTGACTTGAATCCGTCTGTTTCATATTTTAGATAGTATTTTGGGTTTTCCTTGCTATTCATTCACCCGGCAGTCTTTCTGTTGTGGTCTGACCGAAAGAGTTGATCCGACTTTATCCTTTGACTGTTCTGTAACTCCAGACCATTCTGCTCCGAGGTCGACGGGAGCAAAGACATGTGGAAGTCCTTCGGTTGTTTGCCACGCGTTTAAAACCCCGGCAGACCACTGGATCGGACAATCCGTCATGCCGTTTAGGAGATCGCAGCTTAGAAGAGAATCCCTCATTGTTTTCGCCTTCCATCTCTCCTTCTTCGCATACATCACCGGAAAAATCTGACCGATCGCGACCGATAACTCAGACGGACAAGGGAAGTGCACTAAGCAAGCCTAACGGAGAAATTTGCCGAACAGGCACGAGTAATTTGGTGGCTGTTGAAGCACACGGAGCCTCCGCCTATTTTGAAGATGTTATCCATGTTCCTCCACTGCCAGCCACGGGGTTATTTGGAAGACAAAACCTGATTCAGGTTGAATACATGCTTATTGTAAGTTTGTCCAGTCGCATCTTTGATGTAGCAGTAACGGTGCATTTATATTAGAAACGCTTAACAAAATAAAAAAGTTTGATAGAGTTATTGTGTTGATATTATCGAACCTTAGTTTTCATTAGTGTGATGTAAGGGCAATGCTGAATGGCACAAGTTGGGTGGTTTTCTTTCCAATAAGTTGTGCTCAAGTGAAGATCCGAAAAATGGTGTTTTGGGGTCTATTATTAGCAAGAGAGGTAGTGGTTTTGCGTGTTTTTATTTTTACTGGCTTTAACATGTAATTGTGACACCTGCTTGCCTGATATGGGAGATTGAAGTGGGACCTTCTTATATTTGTTTTCTGTTGGTTAGGTTATATTTTCTGCTTCCCGTATTGCACGCAGTTCACGTAGGTTCTAATTTATTCAACAATTATTTTAAATTTTTCTGATCACGTTAAACAAATCTTTTCCATTGCGTATTCTTATGTTTTGTATACCGTTATTTGTATTATTGAAAAATATATAATCTTTGGGTCCATTGTCTGATTTTCATACANTTCAGTTCCTGGCGTCTTTATATTCAATTCGTATTTATTTCACACATTACTGGTAATCAGGTAACCTTCCTATTTTTTACTGTGATTCCTCAGGTTATAGTTTTTATACGCACTAGTTTTCCCCTAAACCATCTCCCCAAGGCGTCTCTATTGGTTCGACAAATGGGTACCGTTTAAATGCCTCAAGTCCCACTTTTATACCATTCTNCATTCTCACTGTCTACCCAAATCACATAATCTATGATCCCGTTCTGACAATAAAGCATGTGGGTAGAAGTGGAGCCGTGATTAACATAATCCCGTATCCAGAACCAATAAGATTCTTCTTTCAATCATCTTCACATTGACCGAGTAGCAATAGGTAGGATGATAAACGCGGGGCAACAATGCATTGAAGAATGCTCAGTTTTTGTTGCCAATCGGACTTCGCGAATTTATCATTCTTTATGATAGATTCCAGTGTATTCCCATAAATATTTGTTCGTCCAAACATTTTCCCCCGACACATATCAATCATATTCATTTGTAATTTCAGAAGAAGCAGATAAATACTGCTTTCTATGCTTCCGCACATTGTTCTATATGGGTCAATGCTTAAAACCTCTGAATGATGTCCATAGTTTTATCCATTTACGAGTATGGCAAACAACTTAAGATGTCATGCGCGTTTTTAAGCGACTAATTAGAAAGAAGAATAGTCATGTAAAATTATAAGAAGAAAACATTGGTTCATTAAACCTTAGGATATGCAGACCGGCCTATATTACTTTTCAGTTTCTGAGCCGCTTCGCTCTATTCTTATAACTTTTTGACTTTTTTCGGTATTTATATTGAATATATCTATAAAAATCCCAAATTCCTGAATAAAATTTTATCAGTGTATCTTGTGATTATTTATTTAGAATTATTCTGTTTGTTTCAAAGAAAAATCCGAACCGTGATACGGTTGACGAATAGTTTAGGACCATGCGAATAATCACTGAATCAGTGTAGTTTCCTGTACGCATCTTACAGAGCTTAAATCCAGTGCTTCTCTATTTTATGCTTAACTGAATAAACTATACATTTATCTATCTATCGACGTGTACTCTTCAAAATATCAGGTGCTGCTGCAAGCCTGGGAGAGGTAACACTTGAAAAGGTTGAAAGATTTTTCTACCTGGGGTGCTGTATACTAACCAGCAGAGTTGCACTTAAGATCTTGCAAAGTGCGATTAAGGCTAGATTAGCGTTTGCTAATCGGTAACATCGCTCACGCCGTCGCGTCATATCCAGTTCATCTAAAGAGCACGTGCATAACCTAACGTCCGTGGTGTTTTGCTCTATATTTAGGAAACCTGGTACCCCAGAACAGTTGACGATCAGCGACTTTATTTTTTTGAAAATTTTTGCCTGCAAAGCATATCTGCGTGTGGTGAGGAGTCACCTGGGTAACGCCGGGGTCTGACGTGTCAGATATAGAAATCCGTCTGTTATACAAGATCATTTCATTGCATCATCCGAGGTGACTGAAGAAGATCATATGAAAACTTGGACAACGAAAGCCCTAATGCGCTTCAGTTGCAGACAGTGAATTAGATTGGAGGAACCAGCGACATAGATAACCTACGAAGTGGCGTAACTCGCTGGAGTACCTATTTTCGGATCTTATTTCCGTCATTGTACCCGGGTTCTAGGATTCCCGAAGATTTGTGTTGTTAGACAATTCAGAAGAAGACACTTCAGAAGATAATATTAACTAGAAGTCAGTGGCGGGAAAGCATCCTCTCGTTTTTGCTATCCCGAACTCGAAAAGTCAAAGAATTCGAAACTAAGTTTAGTAAAAAAAGGACTTGGTACTTTCCACCGGAACTCGATTGCTGATTGTCGTTTTTTACCAATGGTGAGTGATATAGAAATGTTGGATATACATTTACAATAATAATTTCATATATCAAAGACCCGACGGAATTTCCTTGGAGGCACAAGAACGGTTTCGCGATTCTTGCCGCTCACCAGGCATGTGTTTCTGGTACACCTGTGTCACTGAATTCTTATATCTGTACCCGAGTGTTGTATTTTCGTCATTTGCAACACCGGATTTCGCAACAGCTGTTTGAACAAATTTAACCGGTATTGGAATTAGAATATATATATATATATATAAATTCTTTAGACAACGAACCATACACTTATATTGCTAATTCTGAAATTTCCTGTGAGAGCGTAATATACTTCCTTAGGTGCAACTTAAGCCTTTGTCGGGATTGTGGGTCTCATTTTTCAGCAGGCTCTTATCGTTTTTAAACATAATTTAGTTACTGACCTTAGGTTGCCTTAGTTTCTTTTCGTTCTATCAGTGCATGTGATGACAAGCGTGTTCCTACAATCAGGACGGAGGTGGAAAATAGTCAGTAAAAGGGGCGAACTATCGAACATTTGGACCAATAAACCTGAGCAGAATACCTGCAAGTGGAAACTATTTCATACGATCATAGCAGTACCAAAGTTACCATCAGATTATTTTGCTTGTAAGAGTTGGCTTTCAACTTTCCGGGTTTTGATCAGCTCGACATTTTCGCAACTCTTTTGCACACATTTTAAACATTGTTTTAGCAGTTTTAGAGCTAATCATGCGGATATTGCTGACGAAATTATGCCCAGTATCTCTCTTGAGAATGTTTGATGCTTTAAACAATTCTTATTTGTTTACGACTTCTGAGCTAATTGACAGTTTTATTTCCAATATAGGATATTTTGTTCAAATTTAGGTATTGATAAAGGACCGTTTGTAAATTTATTCGTAATATTAATAAGAGAAATGTGTGCTTCTCCTAAAGGTATTGGACGAATTTAGTACCCAATTGTGATATACACAGACTCTTCCGAAACGGACGCATATTTGGTTGATCGTCATTTGTCAAATTGGTTGAAGTAAAATTGAATTTATAAGTGATGGGAAGATTTGTGATTATCAACAAAGAGCACTGAACAGCTGTTTCGCCCGGTTTGGGGCTCGACATCAGTGCATACGTTGTGTCCCTGTCTGGTTTTGAACCGCGAGCGTTCGGGTCGTGACTTCAGATCCTTACCCCATCGCTCATAAACGCATTCAACTAGTGGGGAATTAACTATTTCCCATGGAATGAAACCAACACTCACCAACAGAGCCTGGTGCTTTTAAACCACCAAATGGATTATTCTGAATTTACTACTCCTAAAAATGAACTTGTTTTTGTTAAATATAAAATGCTACGTTACGTATCTATCCAAAATAATGTTGATTAGATTTGAACAAATGATTGATTGATTTCACTCAAGTCAATGTAACAAATGATGTTTTCGAATCCCCGTTCCCCTAGGCCCATTCATTTGATCGGTTCAACCGTGAACGGTATTTTCTAACGCTAGTCAACGATCTATTTTTGTTTATCCTACGGTAAATCGGAAGATGTAACAGTCTTGTGTTATGGTGTTGCCTCACTCCAGGGGACGTGTGTTCAAATTCCACCACCCCCATTTGACTTCACCAATTATTTGTTGTATGACAGCCCTTCGATTGGCCGCTTCTCCTTTCCTGAAAACTGTGTCGTTTTATATTCAATAAAAGGAATTAAAATGAAGAGAGAAGAATTAACAACTAAGTCAAAGCTTTTTCGACTGTTTTTTACTACCGAAGTGTGAACAATAAAACAGTTAACGACTGAAGCAAAGAAATGGGAGGGTTGCACAACTTAATATCGTAAATTAAATTTTTGTTAATAGAAACAGAAGATTGCCTGCTTTTTTCTCTCGCCCTCCACGCTTAAAACTTATATGGGTGGCTTTTCTGTATGACCTAGTTTTTTCGTCTACGGCCTATATAGACATTCTCTTAGAACGCTGATGGCATAAGTATGTAAGGATGTCACCGAACGACTTCTGGCACGTTTCGTCAAATCAGCTTGCCTCCTTGGCCTCCTTTCAAATCCGTGATATGGGAATTTCCTGACGGGAATTCTTATCGATAAAATTCTAGCTTTTATCTTTCACTATCGTTCTATATTCATGAATCGAAGAACAGGGTGAATTGAAAGCCAAACCTGGAATAAAAGCTTGACCATGTGCCATGTTTCAGTGCTACAGGAAGAAATCGAACAAAGCTAACGTTAACAATTTTGAGAGGGATCGAAAAAGGCAACTCATAATAATAATTATTTTTCTACTATTTACCTTTGAATCTAACAGGAACAATCATTTCTACTAGTGCAGATATATGTATATATATGACGTTTAGATCCTGACCTCAGTCATAGTATTTTAATTTGCGTATCAGTTCAGTTCAATTCTTACTACCATGCACTTTCGTGATCCGGTATGGGTTGCTATCTTTTGGCCGCCTGTTTGGATAAAAGAACAGAATGAGGATTGGAATGTTGAGAGCAAATTCAGTCGGAAGATGGAAGATGCATATAGAGTGGTGTTAAAAGAATAATGAGTAGATGTATGAGCGCCACTGTTTGCGAAACCCAGCCATATCACTGAGTGTCTCTAACCATCGGTAACCATCATCTCGGGGTCCCCAGCCAGGGAGCCTAACGAGACCTATTCTCTCAGTGAACCTATTTGACCCAGTCTCCTGGTTAGGATTTTCATACCCTCATGCCAGGTCTTCGTTTGACCTCCCTTGACCTTTTTTCAGCCGCTACCTGCCTCGGCAAACCTCGCTCGCCGTGGTAATCTATCTGGTGACATGCGTAACACGTCTTAACCATCTTAATCTATGAAGGTCGACCACTTGCTCCAGTGGACGACCGCGATTGCATGCACCCAATTGAACTACAATTTATTGCATTGGTATCGAAAGTTAATATGCAGTCTTATGCTGCGAATTATACAGGAACATCATATGATTTTCTTTGACCACTTGGTTGAATTATGCATCACCGTGATAGAAAGCAGAAAGCTCTAGGGAATACAAGAAAGGAAACAGTATCATCCAAATATCGGTTGCCAGTAGATCATTTCTGGTGTAGGTTAATTTCTCTGCATATACTTTTACAACTGTTTGTAAAATGGGACCGGGAAATTGAATAAATTTGATAAAGTAATTATCTTGTGATATTCGATAAGTTCACAAAAATTATCCACAGATTTGAGTGCTGCTATCAATACCCTAGAATCTGACTGTTTATAGGACAAGCGATATTGAACCAACGGCCACAGTACTCTCCACCAGCGCTCTTTAGTTGTCGTATATACAATGAGAACACAAACTGGCGAACAAGCTCGTTAATCATGCCATTACAAAACAATAAATATGACTAGTAAAAGAGAAGAATTTCAAGGAAAAAGGAAAGTAATTAAAGTATTCAGCAGTTTGGTTCATAGCTGGCCCCCAGTTATCACTTTCTGTGATGTTTCATGATAAGTCACTTATCGGCGATTCGGCCATGGGTTGTAAAGACGGATGAAAACTGCCNATTGGCCAGAATGCGAAACTCCACGTGTCTAGACCTTTTCAATCTCAAGTGAATCCGTTGTAACTTCAAGTGAATCCAACCAATCACATTCCTCTAAGAACCCCAGAAGATTATTGGTGTTTCGGCCGTCAAAAGTCACCGACTGGACCGGGTCGGTCTAGACCCCGTTCAGCCCGAGTGAACTAACTTCTCCTTAAACAAACAAAAGTACTTTTTAAGTGAGTTACCGAGCTAGAATGAAAGTTTCGGTGGGGTGAGGCGGACCGTTCTCCCCCCCCCCCNCACCCCCAAAAGCACACCCGTTCCACTCGGGAACGTTATGTTCATGATCGTTGATCGAGTGTGCAACCACGCAGGATGATGCTCACGGATGCGCTCGGGCAGACGCCTGGTCGTGTGGTCAACACATTTTTCTCCACAGGAGCAAGTGAAAGAGTCAATACAGAAAGAGGTAGCAGAATCGGGTACTCTATCCTTCAACTATAGATACACCAACGGGCTAAATGTTAAGCGATTTTGGAGCTTAGGCGCGTAGAACGTTTTGTTGATGGCATTTTATAACCTTCTATGCAAGACTTCTTCCAGGATGTCGCCTTTAAATGGTAAAGAAATGTACACAAACTTCTGCTCAGCAATTACCCTCCAGGGAAACGCCTCTTGTCGTTGCATCACAGTTCCACGAAGCGCTCCGTGTATCCATTCTAGATAAAGACATTCTGCACATTTTGGAGTTCTTCAACTAGGATGTCCTTCCTGCAAGTTCTTCTAGCTCTATTGGCCAAGCAGGGAATGAAATTCTTCTTCATGCTGAGTGGTATAAAACTACGGAAAGGAATATACTGCCCATTTTACGTGGATCCGTCATCTTAACGACTTAGGCAAACATCTAAATGTGCCAGTTTAATCGTGAATTTCAAAATCCGACGCTCAGCAATAAATTGATCTAGTTTATGCTGGCAGTCCGTTGTAGAATCGACCATGCACAAAATATCGTCTAAGTAACGTTTGTACAGTACGTATTGTTCGATATTCCAGCCGCAGCAGAGGCAGTTTCCATCCGTCTTTGCAACCACATTTTGTGGGCTCAGAAACAATTCGTTCAAGCACTCAAGCTCCCATGTCCGGATTGCTGACAAGTGAGTTGTCATGAGACATCCCAGCAAATGATAATTGAGAACCAATTATGAAACAAACTGTTGAATACTTTAATTACTTTCCTTTTTCTGGTAAATTCTTAGCTGTTACTAGTCCTATTTTTTGTGTTGTGATGGTATAATTAACATACACTGAAAACAAGCTTGTTTGCCAATTTGTTTTCTCATTATGAGCTCCATGAGGCTGTTTAAAGATTTGTTGTATATGTTTGAAATGAAATTTTTCGGTGTGTTCCGATTTGACAAATGCTTATTACTTTATTTTTACCACAACAGTTATCCATTGGTTTTCTGCGAAAATCGATCGGGATGAAAACACATTATTGTTGTTAACTGTTGTCTAAGGATTCCTCAGGTATAAGTTATCCTTTAGTTATCAGTATTACGCCTTCTGATATGAATTCCAAAGCAAACAGCTATATACATTATACTTGGTCGTCCAATGACGGTTGATGGGTGACGGTGGTCAAGTGGTTAAGGTCATCAGAGTAGCTATCTGGTGGTCCCGAGTTCGAATATTGCCACCACCGTCCATCTTCCCTATGTCTGTATTTTCCCATGGCGGTCTGCTCATTTATATACTTAAGAAGTGAGAAGAAGAAAGTAGTACCTTTTTGGTATAAATAGTAGGATGTCATGCACAACAACGAAATACCAAACTATCTTATTTGCTGTTTGTTGTTTGTACCCAATTCTAATGGCGCCTTTCGGCTAGCCGTATCAGATTCCGTTTCTTTTTGGTGGAATTTTTCCGGTTTCTTTGATGCCTTTGGTCCTTTTTGTTCATACTCCAATAGCTTGTGTTTGTGTGAGATCATACTTGAAGTTCATCAATGAATTTCACGACAACTCTTTTCCAAATCATTTGAATGCTTCGTGTAGTAGGCAAACGTGCTAGATGACATAAAGATAATGGTTGTGAAGCACATGTTACTTAACTGTTCTATGTATGTTGTGCAATCATGTGGGCTGAATAACTTCCAAGCTTCGATACTCACTCATTATTCGACTTTTCTGTTTTTGCAATGCGTTTTTGTCTCGACTTCATTTAGTTGGATTATTTGCATACATCTTTTCCAGTTACGATTAAGAATGGAAGGTGATTCGGAAGGGAAACAGGAACAACGAATGCAAATCCCCATTACTGTGGGTTCAGATCCGACTCGCGAGACATCTTTTATCGGGTCCAATGAAGGTGAGGAGGATATTCTTCATTGATAATTATACCTACTTCAGAAATCAATGATTGTATGTTTTTGAATGAATGAAATCTAAACCTATTTCCTTATGTTCGATTTGCAAACTAAATTCAAAATATCATTTTAGGTATGAATATTTCCTATTTCGAACATATCAGTGTTTTACAATATATATCGTTTGGTATAAATAGGTACCTAATAAAAATATGTAGATTAATATTTCCTGTGAAAGAAGTATTTCAACTCAAAGTTAGTAACGCACGAAGGTGGAATCTTACAGTTTTTTTGAAGAAAATCAAACATTTGCAACCAATAAATCCAGTTATGAGATAATGAAGTTTTGTCGATTGGGGCTGGAGGCAAACAGTAATCATTTACAGCTCAAAAGCCGCTCATTAATGGCATAGTGAACTGCACGTAAATAAATCACCATTTGTCTCCTTCGGTTGTTTAATACTTCATCCAGTCTTTCATATTTTGAGTTCATCAAATTTGAGATCAGAGGTTTTGCCGTTCTTTTTTCTTTTACGCTTTTGACACTGATATCAAAGTTGAGACGAACTCTTAGTATATTATCTTCTCTTTCAAACACAAACAAGACTTTCATTCGCGCTGATATGGGGATTGATATATCCCCTTTGTGTAGTTTTCTTATGCACTACAGGTGTAAATTCTTTTTCTTGATGGCTTCTTACCAAATAAACTTTGAGGAAGGCATCTTTGAAAGAAAGCCAACAAAACTTGTGTGAGGTTTGTCATGACACATTATTGTATGTATTATTCAATTTTCTAGAGCGACTTGCAGACTGGGTCGGAAGATGACTCCATACAGTTACTACACAATTTCTACATCATTTGGGCACTTTTATTGTGCCTTCCTCAACATGACCATGTATATTCATTATCGTAGAAGCTTATCCCACCTACAAGCACCGCATTTCTGCATCCATAATAATTGATCACTCTGACTGGTTATAAGCAGTGTCAATCACCTCGATGGATACCTCAATAATGCCAGATTCATGTTAATTACCCGGACCATTATTTTACCGGCTGTTCTGAAATATTGATTTTTTTCGCAAAATAGTGTAGGTGGTCATTCGTCACCATGCATTTGTTGGCTTTTGAACAGAGAAGTGTTCTCCAATATTTATTTGTTACTAGACTTCCAATAATGAAAAAATTACACATGGAATGCATTCTTCTTGATTGATTGTGAAGCAAACCTGCATTGTCTGTCCGTAAGTGGTCAATGAACGTGATTGCAATGAGCACCATGAGTTTCTTGCATTTGATACTTCTAATTTTGTGATCTGAAATAATTCGTTGACAGTGAAATGTTTAAGTAATTTGTAGTAGTTTTTAGTAGACGTCGACAATTTTGTGTTTTGCCTTCACATTCTACGTGATTCGCGCAGACGAAGTATTGCTTTGAGTAGCAAAAGTTATTTGTCCCTGACCCAGGTAAAAACTGTTTTGAAACTTGACTGATGAAGCCACTGCCTGAAAGAAAAGTAAGAATTTCTCCAAGAGATAAGTCAATCAGTGAGTGATATATTTCGATTAGCAAAGATTTTTGAGATGAAAATGAACGAAAGTAAAAAATGAACCACCGATTGGAGCGGTTCAAGGGATAATGAAGTTGGCCTCACGCCTTCTACGAAGAAACTCGAATCGCGACTGGTCCTTCGGTTTTCTTACGTCGTCGATCGAAATGGGTTTGTCCTACTACCTGACTGATAGGAGTATTTTAGCTGTAAATAGTGATAGTAAATTACGAACGAACTGTGAGTTTAGTTGCTTGTTCCTCCCGGAATCCAAGTCCGTTGAGTTTATGGACTGAGATTCAATCGAGAGATTGGACAAACCCTAAAGGACTGGATTTTATTCAATCTGTTAAATAAATTTCCGATAAGATGGGTAGATANCTTGAGCCAAAATAAGCCAAGCCCCCCCCCCCCCCCCGCGGTGTTATTCAATCTCATAGTCAAACTGCAATTAGACTACCTTGCTTTGTGTAGCAATTTCCCTTCTATTGGGCGAAAATATATAAACAGTTTGCTTTTCTAGTTATGTACTTATTTTGCGGTCAATCAGCTGTAAGGTACCCAATACTAAACAAATATCACTTTTCACAAACATTTTGGCGTCTAAGGGCACAATCAGAGGGAACAGAGTTGGTGAGAGTGAGAATGCAGAGGAACAAGAAGAGTGTTCATCCAAAAGTAAAAATGAAATTCGTGATCAATCATTCAAAGCTTTCCAAAAACTTGTTTGTTTTCTTTGTTTACTCGGAAAAAGAAAAATCATCCTGAAGTTAATGTATACTTTTATAAACAGCTGCACATCCCGAAAGCAATCTACAATACTAATTTATTTACCTTCGCATTAAACCCACATATGAATCTCTTGTTGGGGGTTTTCAATGGGCACACGTGACGGATTCAACAAAAATGATAGCGGTTTCATTTGGATGTGATGTTGTATTGGGTGAATAACCTGACAGTACATGATCTGGTACCTGAATCAACTGTATAAAAGTCACATTAAGAACAAGGCAATTATTCACCGCACAAGTAAGAACTCACTCGAACATTACCAGTTTCTAATTTTCAAAACGCTCAAACTAGCCATCAGTTATGATAATGCTCCATTTTTCAGTGAGGTAGTCCGTGAGGAAAGTAATAAGCAGATAAAGTACATCAAAATGATCTTCAATCCCCGTTCAACCGCTTGGGTCAATCACTTATAAATGGTTGAATTGAGTGGTAGTAGACTGAATGATCTTGCTGTTTTGGTCGACAAATTGACAAAGTAAAACATGACATTGCCAAAACCAAATTACGGATTGTTCAGATTAAAACTACTTTACCACCAGTAATTTCGGTCTAACTTTCCGAGTCATCACGCACCAGCGACAAATTACGGTGTACCGTCGATTTGCCTTAGGGGCGTATTGTCTCAAGAAAACGTGTCTGACGGAACTTAATAAATGGCAAACAACATTGGCTTCAGCAAAGGCTAATTTGTTTTCGGCAATTTGCAGTTTGATTTAGGTAGATTTTAGTTTAGTTTTGGCAATTTGTGAATAAAAAACAGAAAACTGGATATTTATTACTTTGACATTCTTTATTCACCAATCACTGGAGCCAGACGGAGTTACCTGTTGGTAGCTCGTGAAGCGCGGTTGTTCAAATCAGGACTTAAGGCTCCACAAGCTCTATTTTTATGCATTGGCGAGGAAGCTCAACACGAAGGAAACAGATGTTTGGAGTTTCCAAGTTTTGGAAGTGATTTTTTCCTCACGTATGAATAGTGGTGGCAAGTTAGCTAATCTCGAGGATGCAGACAAATTTGTACTACTAAGTTACAATTCAAATAAATTACAAGTTGCAATTTAAGCATTAGCTTACACGCGTTTTTCACTTTCAACGCTGGCCTGGACAGGTCTGGTTCACAAACTCCCTAACCAGGGAAGCAAAGCAGAAAGTAGATAATTTTTGCTATTTGGGATTCTGAGGCTACCCTGGAGGTCGCATTACGGACATTTGTCAGGACTCCTGATCATGTTAGTGGCCTCAGGAGTATTGTTACCAACCTAATCAATGATTAGAGAGCGTGAGTGATATAGTTGTGCTGTAAATAGGGATTATCGTGTAACTACTCTCTTTCCTGGGCGATGATGTTTAATTGCTTTTTCTGTATCATTATTATGATAGTAAGTTTCTATTTTTAACCTTCCATTAACTCGTTCCCCATTATTCAACCAAATGATTGATCGAACAAAAGCAACCAAAAATCTTCTCAGAATAGTGCAATGTTAATGGTTGTGAAAACTGAAACCGATTTTTTATGGAAGGAATCAAACTATGGCATCGTTCTCAACCATTGTCATTTATCCCACGTATTTTGCAGCTATTGCTTTAGCAAGTTTACTAAAAATAGACTCTGATTTGTAAGTTAATATAAAATACTCTCAGCGCGATCGTAGTTTAGAACAAGAATATTTAATTAAGTGATAGTTCAGTTAATTAATGACTTTCATCGTATAAGGCTCAAAGAAAACATGAGCTCACAGTTACTCATGAGGGGGTGACTGAGCTCATCAGTTCGGCCAGTAAGCTTTGCCCTTAGAAACCAAATTATAGCTATAATGATGAGCTCTGTGGCTGACAGATAGTTAACTGTCTCCTTTCGTTGCCGTCGGACCAAAATGAACAAACTGCTGAATGTCCACCCCTCGGGGTGCATAACGCGATTCCTTGACTTGACCTTGACTTTATATATATATAGATGCAATTCTTGTCATCCTGGGTGTAAGGTAATTGGTTCAGTGTTAGAACATACCTTCCGTTGGATGGGGTCCGAATATCAAGTCCCGATTAGGAAGATGAATAAGTACTGCTGATGAGTTTACTTGAGCGAAGCTGGAGTTTTGGTGACTCCTGAGTGCAAGGTTGACTAAACACATGAAGAAGAAGTTTTCCGGATGGTTCGTCAAGTTCAATTGGCTGTTTGGATCAGATGGATTCCCATCAGTGACACATATTCATCAACCCAAATGAGGATCTAACGCAGGACCCTACAGGTTGAACGCAAGCATACTACATACTTGACCAAACCCATTCAGTTAATCACAATGTTTGACTTTGTCTACTCACGATATGGTACAACCAATATTTGCAGCCCTTCTAAGGTTATCAATCACTGGTCTCAGGGTTTACCACTTAGGCGAGAACATTCGGAAACTGACTAGTAATTCAGTTTGTTTAGATTTTCTCACCCAGGTATGTTTGTCATATTGAAACATTGTTTATTCTTCTGTCCGATAATGCTAATTGGCATTTTAGGTTGAAATATTTCGGCACCTTGTCACACAGTGACCCGGTGGTAACATAGTCATTTATTACATAAAGGACAAGTGCTCGAATCCCACCACCACCGCCTGACTTTCCCCATTACTTGTTTTATGGCAGCCCTTTGATTGACTGCTTCCCCCTTCCCAAGAACTGTATCATAATGTATTCAATGAAAGGACGTAAAAGTGAAAAAAAAACTAAAATAGGGATCTTAGCTACACACCATCGTAATAAATAAATGTCAGATTCAAAATATCATATAACAAGAAAATGAATGGGCTATTTTCCTATCTGATTATTACAAAACCGTTTACCTGAGACTGTACAGCGTTCGTCCTTCAACCTGATATATATTACGCTAGTGCAGCAATAATGTTCAATGAAGTTTGGTTTAGTCTGTGTCTGCCAGTTAGCTTTATTGCAGCATTTGCTGATTAGTGCGTTCCATCGACCCTATTTGGTACGTTTTATTCTAGTATTGAATTAGGTTAAATCTGGTTTACGGTTCACTGCATGATCCGACCAAACCCCTCAAATCCCCCAACCGACTATCTGCTCTTCAGTTTATAGGGTATCTGGTAAGCTGACGGAGAACATACTGCTGATAGTGGGTACACTGCTTGTTTGACAAAACCGATTGGAGAATTGACCACACGCATACCAGTGCGACGGTGGGCTGATTTCACGGTTCTATGATAAACGTACCCAACCTTCGTGTTTGTTATGCTGTCAGTATGCATTTCTCGTCGAATGACCTGCCATATAATTGTTCCACGAGAGCTTTTTGTTCCACTCTCTTTGTGCGGTTGGGATTCATGTTCTGTCCCAAGCCTAACGACCATCTTGTCGAATATTGATCATGTTGCTGGTCGCATAGACAAAAACAGTCCTTGTCACGAGTATCGGGCGTAAATTGAGGTGCCGAAAAGGTGCGTGGAGGACCGGGACAAGACAGGATGGAATTGGTTCGATTTAGGGGGAGGGGGAGACGGGACACGAAGGGGCGAGTTGTAGTGATGAAAACGAACCAGAGTTGTACACACACACGCGTGCACAACGTACGTGCTTTGCAGAAGCCAGGATGATCATGCAGCAAATCACCATCTCTATACCAACCCAAATTTCATCCCCGGTCTGACGGGGTGCGTACATTCTTTGGGCTTGCGATAACAGCTTGGCTTCCTTGGTGCGTTGTACATCTTCAAAGTTTGTGGCGTTGCCTGAAAATGCCCAAGCGATGCTCGGACGAAATTGTCTTGGCGTTTGGACACAAATGTGTGGATTTACGGACGTACTTATGTCAAGGCATGCACGACACACACATATGTTTTCAGCGGCGATTCATTGCCCGCTTTGGGAAACCGCACGTGAGACGACGATTTGACAACTGGGCAACAGTTGTTCTTATCAAAACCAAAGAGTGACTATCTTCTGCACAAGGTCAGTTTCCCATTCCATAGTGCTGAGACAGATCATTAATGTAGGTCGAAAGATTTCTGTCAGCGAATGATTGAAATTTTGGGAAAATCATGTGCAAGATATTTAAGATGCTGCTGAAGTTGGTACGTAACTGTCACACAATTTAAGTGGTATACATTCCAAAATTCTAAATATTTGTACTCATATTAAAAAATATACTTAATTTTATCTAAATCATATCGAAGCGATAAATCCACACGAGGGTTTACTGAATGCTGTGCAGTCCTTCCATAACACGAGAAAAATAAATGAAACTTGTGATATGTTTCAGGTATTTTGTATTGTACTGATCACCTATCCAATCAAAAAAAACGCAAGTATTACTATGGATAATTCATTTGATGAAGACCTTTGTTTAACATAAACAAACAATAAAATTTGATGTTAATAACGGCATTTTTGCTACATAGAAGGGAACGAGAGATGTCCCGAAATAAAAAATTAAATTCATCGCAAACAGCTTCAGCAGGCAAACTGAAAACCAAACTAAAGGCTGATAACAACGTTCATATATTTATATGTTGGTGTATCTCTATCCATCAACCTATTTCGCCGTCCATATATATATATTATTTATTATTTCAGGGACTTCCCTCATTCCTTTTTATGTTGGAAAAATACCGTTCTACACATCATATTATATTGCTTGTTTATACTATTTCACAAGGAATACGATATTGCTTTGTTATCTCTGTCATGACTTTTCAGCACTGCGCTTTGGTATAATGCAGTCAAACTGTGGAAAATAGACGAGTGTCGAAGAGTAAAATGCACATCTGTTGGAATAAAACGTTTAACTTTTTATCAGTTATTCATGATTTCCGTCAAACATCAAAAAATTGTTTAAATTCCTATTGCTCTTTCATGTATCTCACAATTATCCGATTGTTTATTTATTGTATCATGTAAGAACTGATGTTTGCCTGTTTTTAGCTTCCCGAACAATTCATGTTTCGCTTTGTTTTACCGTATATATTTGTGTACATTCCACTTTTTTTTAACAAATCCCATAATTTTGTAGATTCACGACAGTTCAATGATTCCGGCTTTTAGACACTTTCACTAAATTATTTTTGTGTAGCCAGTGTCATATCAAACTGATGAATGAGGATTATTTGCAAAACATCTTCAATGTTTTTCAGCGATTCCTCCGTGTGAATCGGTCCATGTGACAGGGATGGGAAAGGGAATTCTCTATTCCTGAGTATCATATGCCTGGACCAGCAAAGCGAATAAGCGATTGAGTGAAAATCAATACGGATAAGATTATTGTGTTTTTGTTTGACTATTTTTCCTTCTTTCATCAACTCCGCCTAAGTACACACACTGATACGCACACATATCCACACACGTACGGACACACAAAAGTGTTTCACTCCTACTGACCTGAACAGAGGTTCGTAGACTAGCCTCATTGTATACGTGTTTGTGGTGCTCGTTTCTCTTCTGCAGTTCGCTAAAATTTGTTTTTGTCCGTTGTGTTTAGTTTATCTTGTTTGTTTGCTCGCGAGATAAGTATATACCTCAGGATACGCACAGTTTGTTTATGTCGTTCTTCGACTCCGGACAAAACGGCTCTCAAGCCTAAGTGAGTTTTTTGTTTCTTTCCAATTCTAATATCGGTTGTTTATCACCGAAAAGCAAAAAAGAAAGAATGCACAATACCTAACAATTCACGCATATTATAACAAAAAATATAACAAGGTATACAACGTCTTTCTCATCAGACCCCAACGATGAAAACTAAGAAACTCAGCGTTTCTGAGTCACGTTTGTTCACATAATGAATTTACTGATATAAGGAGCAAACTCGTAGGTCAACTGAATAGCATGCTTGTATTTTGTCTATAATACTCCGATTTTGGTGCTCATTACAATCCTGGAACTCTTCGCACTGTCGCTGCTAAACAACTTAATTCAAACAGCTTAGAGGGAGCTTTAGTTTTTTAGTTTAGTTTTCCTTTGCTCTGTTTAAGTTAAATAGCATTTATTACTTGGATAGTACATTTAATTGAAGTATCGGATGGAAATTTGCTATGATTTTGACTAGATGATATTCGCATATCGATTTACATTCCAATTTCATTTTACTGAAAACACACCTTGAATCATCCGCTTTTTATTTCAAATTTCATTCGTAATTGGATGCTAAATAATTAAGCATTCTCATATTTATTTTTCCAATCCCATCCTTCAGTCGTGCCTTGCTATGCGTCTTTTAATTACGCTTCTGGAGAGGTAACTGAGTATGATCCCACGGTCCACGGTCCGCCAAATCAAGTTCCCCGACATTTGAGGCCAGTTTATCGATATTTTAAACCTCGAGCGACTGCAGCAACGGTTAACCCCAGTGTCATTCCTCCTCAGATCGAGTCTTCTCGATCCAGTTTAATTCGACCAGACTCTCGGGTTCCATCTGAGAGCAAATCTTCTATTGTCATGCACGACACATCAGATTTATCAGGCTCCGCACTTATTGAAAGAAGGGGTACCCACGAATTGCAGGGATCAGGTGCTTTGTCGGCTGCCATGGTTTCTAGATCATCAGCGCGATTTTTGACACCATCAACCGCAGATGACATCCTAACAACTGGTTATTCATCGTCTGCAATTGAACCAGCAATACGATCAGCAGAAGATGAAGGTTCAAGTGATTCACCATCCTTTCCCATTTTGTCTAGGCAACAATATTTTGACAACGGAGACCGCATCACTGTGAATGACGAAGAAGATCAAGGATTGGAACCAGAATTTTCATCTGAAACACCCGGACCCAGTGGATCACCCAATCGAGGTAATATTGTAGAAAGTCGAATTTCTTCTGGAAATCTGATGAGCAGTGCTATGCGCTCGGACCGATGGTTGCACTCCAAATCATCAAGGAAACAGTATTCATTTGATCTCTGTTCGGATCACACAGTTTCTGGTGACGAGGGTGAATCAATCAGTCCTAATGGTCTAGTGGAAGATGATGCATATCTGTCGGATGAAGATCCTATATGCCTCAACTACACACGTGGCGGTTCAGATAGCAGCTCCACATCTGACCCGGAAGAGGTTGCAAACTTTGATTCGTGTGAGGAATTGGATGAAACTCGATTTTCCAATCATGCCATTGACGATTATTATTCTCCTCAACATTCCACACACAGCGGACCTTCCACATTAAAGAGATTTGCCGGCAGTGCTCCACTTCATCCTCAAGTGGAACAGCGACAGAGATTTGAGTCAACTGCCATCATTAGGAGCACTGATAAAATGGTTCACACGGAATCCAAGACCTCCATATGTGAAAAGACTGGCGCACGTCGAGCAGCAGGTAGAATTCTGTATCAGGCCTACTGGAATAACCCTAAGGTAGCTCCAGTACCCGGACGTCGAGTTGAGCAAGGTCAATATTGGACTGTCTTGAAGGATTCCGAGCAACATTGTTGTGAACCGGTTGAATTTTCCTTGCGAACAATACAAAAATCACCAAAATCTCAACCAGTAAAAGATGTACTTCATAGTTCGCTTAGTAAAAGAAAATCTCTAAACACCGAGGTCGATTTAACTGGTGATACAAGTGGCTATTCACTAGAGAGCCGGTCAGGTTATGTTTCCAAGAATCATAGAAGCACTTTGTTAGGATGATCAATTTCTTTATGACACACAAGAAAATGACTAAAAATGATTTTGAAACGTATTCGGTTTCTAAACTCGTTAATTTTATTTTTATTGTCCATATTGGAATGCATGCGGAATTTTACCTCGACCTTGTCTATATGTGAATAGTTTCCGTTAATCTTTTGAAATGTTGTCTGTATAACACCTGACAATGGCGAATTTTGTAAAGTAAACACTTCCAATCGTTTCAATGGTTGACTTTATTACGACCTGCCATACAAGCGTAGTGTATTTTTCTCAAACTGCTTCAAAAATACTTGTTCTCTTCTACGATAATGAAACCGTAATCTCAGAAATCAACGTGCTAACGCTTTTCACGTGATTATTAGTGGAACAAAGCAGCTGGAAAAATAATCTCCCTTGGTCAGGGACTTCATTAAATAGCCCGTGGTGTGTTTCATTCGATTGCAACTCATCTCTATTCTGACGTGCTTGTCACGATGTTGATCGAATGACTCATTTGGAACATTGTACACGGTCTTATGCTATCCAGTAGAATCGCAAATTGTTGCTTATTGTCTACATGACTACAGACATAACTTTGTGTATGTCAATAATTTTTTCGAATCTTGTCACCTTCCCTATGGGTTTTCAGTTGTTCAATCAAATCTCTTCATTCAGCAATTTTTTTCAAAACAATGGGGCAAGCCGATTCTATTTCTTTCGTCCATCTCACATAAGACTGCGAAAAACTATGCATTTACATTTGGGGATACAGAAAGAAAGAGAGAGCAAGTTTGGGACAGTGAAGAAGGTGACTGAATCAAATGAGAGTGTTGATTGTGCATATCTCCCCTCTGTGGGAGCGTTCAGGAACAAGGCAACACTACATTGATTCTGATTTTGGTATGTGTGTGTGTGCGCGCTAGGTTTGCTCTTGTCTTTCTCATTCTGAATACCAGATTTTATTGCAGTGCAGTTTCACTACTAGATTTGCAAATCTTATGATTTCAATTGGGCAGACATGTTTACTACTTCTTTTTTATTACACGAAATCGTGTTTCCGGTAATTCCATTCAGTTGGCTCAATTCGCAATCCCATAGAAAATGTATCCATACATTTAAAACATCCTGTATGATAAACTGCTAAGAAGAATCTTTTGTGTTTAACAACATATTCTTGTTTTAATCTCCTTCGTTCAAGTTCTGCTTTACATCTGGGTACAGCTGTAACGTGCTCCACTTGCATTCTCCTCCACTGCCTAGTTTTAAGCAGCAGTGGTTCAGAACATCCAAGTTTGATGAATACGCGAACAATGTTACTTTTTTTATTCATGTATAGATTCGAGCACTACGATTTCTTGCATGGTTCTTCCCCTCTTGATGTTATGTGTATCTCAGTTTGTTTTTCATTTACCCTATTACACTGGTTGTCCTGTTCCCAAACCAACGTTGACATGTGTATATAATTGTGTTGTTCACTCTTATCATTTAAGACAGACGGTGACTTCAACACGCGTTGTTCCTGAAAACCTTTTGAGACCTGCAAGTAACCGAAAGAGGGTAATCGATTCGAAAGCGGTGAACATGATGGATGAAAACCATAATTCTAAACACGTTCTCCTGTTCGCCGGCAGCGCAAATGGATCAATATTTCTTAGTCGGTCATATTTTATTACTTATGGAATAATACAAAAGTATACACAGCATTTCGCTTTAGAGAATTTTCTCAACAGACTCGTCACTACAGGCTTCGTGCCTCAGGATTTACCTATTGTGAACAAGTTCACAATCTGTAGAGGCAGCAGTATATGGTCGATGATCTATATATTCTGTCTGTCAAGTTGTGGTACACTAACCTTTCAGAAACATGAATTTATAAATGAAAATAATCGAAGGACCATTAAATGTTAGAAATCTGTACTCTCGTAAGATACGTCGCATAAGTATTTTGACTACGATGAACTAACTTGTTAAATCGCTGAATGTTCACAACTATTGTTTTGTTTTGCTACACATTCACAGAACAATATAAATTTCCGGACTGAAAATCGGGTTATTTGTACCGCCCATGGTTAGTAAACCCTCGAAATTTTCATTTTATTTCTGTGTTCCCTAAACAAGTAATAACAGGCCTCTGAAAACATTCTGCTTATTCATGTTGCCACCTCAAGCTGAATATATGAATGTGAAGACGTCGTGTTATTTTGTAGAGTTCTTTCTGACTACTACCAAAATAAGGAGTAGTTCAAAATTAAAAACCGCTCCGGATCAATCCCCTGGATGCAGTGCGCAGCACAAAACAAGCTGTTATTAATGTGATGCATTTCGCTATTCTCAAAGCCTACGTTATTTATGACAAGCTGATCTCATGTTTGGTTCACCTGAAAGTCCAAAATATTTCAACCGGGTAGCTGACCAGAGCGTTTTTCTTTTTAGATTTAGACGATATAGTATAACTATCTTTGCAAGCTTTTTGAGGGCCTCGCGCTTCGCTCATCTCAGCACTAACCTCCGGGGTTGTGATTCGGTGAGAAACTTTCACCACCTGACTGCTGAAATAAGCAAATCGCGATGCTCGCAATGAGATCGCCAAAATGGATTGTACTATGTAGTGTAAATGGAAAATGAAAAACGGTCCGATCAGTTGTCCGAGGGGAAAGTGGATAGCATGCTTACGTTCTGCCTCTGAGGTTCCGGGTTCGATCCCATCTGGGTCAATTGGTTCGCACTGCTGATTGAACCCAACTAGGCCAGAACAGCTGTACGGTGCTTCCTAGGTTTTCAGTTCAGGCTCAATTTGCTCTATACATGACCAAATCATCCTATGAAATAACCAGTAACATTCCTATGAGGATAAAAGTCAAATAGAAACCGGTAGGGAGATGGGCTTATTACTATAAATTTTGTGAGCTCAAACGAGAGAGTGGAATAAATTCATGTAAGATGCACTAGAAACTATATGTCATTCATAGCAACGGATGTTATCTGGAGGCAAAAGAATTCCAGAATAATCCCATTGGAACATCAGAACACCGGCCGGTGTAACAACAGAGTTTGGACTATAATTTGGAATTGAAATTTCGAATTGTAATCGCCTCGGCCATGGGTGAAATATGTCATCTTATTTCCTTCGAATATCTCCGGGTTATACTGTGAATACTTTTGAATACATCCAGTTTGTTCACAACATGTCCGCTATTGACGAGAAAACGGAGAACCGACGTGAGAATGCACCTAATCATTCCTTTTTAAGGGGCGGCAGAACAGTTCTCAGTAATACGTTTTGATAATCGGTTAGTTGTACGTTCAACTAACCGCACACTAAAAGTGCACGTGAATAGATATAAAACGACGGATTTGGACTGATTAGACCACTTATCTTTGGTTCGCTGGGACATTAAATGCCAAGTGATAGTGAGGATATACGTTTAAGCTGCAGGGAACGTTCTAGAGATCACTTTAGACAAATTTCATTTGAGAAGTTTCAGGGTATCATAGCCCGTAACTTAAATGATGAAGAAAACGTTCTTGCGAAAAACGGTCGGGCCTTTGTTAGTGTTCGTCTTCAAAAATCTGTGCTTATCAATAAATGCTTTTGGGTAATCATTTGACCGAAACACTTCATGAATAAAACTTATCTCAAACTGAAATATTTCAACACTGCAAATCGCAAGCGCTTGGTATGATAAACATCTAACCAGGTTGCGTTTGTACTTCAGACGGGCAAAGCTAAAAAATGCGTATACAGTAAAATTCACGTTGTTTTGCCGAAAAGCGCTTCGTTGGATAGTACTATCGTCTCGCTTTGTTACTAACACATCTAAGAAGGGTAGTTGTCCTATTTTCTCTAACTTATTAGTGAAACTAACAGTCGGGTGAGACTTATTGAATTCACCGAAATGCTGTGTGACTGGTGTGGGGATCACAAACAATGACAGTATCGAAGTATCTGCAATATACGTCAAAATGTCGAATTTTCTTTTTCAGATTTCTTTTCTCCAGTTTGGCTAGAAAAATATTGGCTTATATGGGGCCTAGTGAAACCCCATGGAACCTGATCGCTGGCTGTAAAACTGGTCATTATACAAAATTGTACATATAATATACATCTCAGAATGAGCTTCTTTAATTCATTCAATGGGATTCCGACGTGAATGACGGCAAATGATATGTAGTAAACGCGACCGATGCTGGCTGAAAGAAAATAAGTCAAATGGACTGAT